AAATAAGAGGGGAAAATTTTGCAAAATTTAAATTTGGTTCCATTTGGCCCTAATTTGAAAATTTTGATTCCCGACAAAATGTAATTTCGTACCAAACTTTCTAGCGGTTACCAACCACTAGAAATTTTTGACACCAATATGAAAATTTCGTTTCTCAGCAAAATGTAATTTCATCCAAAAGTTTCTAGCAATATATGTAATCGCTAGGAATGTTTTTGAAATTTTCTAGCGGTTTTTAACCGCTACAAATGTCGTCTCATTCACCTGTGCCTCCTTGTTTTTTCTAGCGGTTATGTTAATCGCTAGAAAGTTTCTGGTATTTTGACTAGATTGTGTAGCGATTCCCTTAACTGCTAGAAAACTATTTCTTACACTTGATTTTCTAGCGGTTAGGCTAACCGCTACAAATATTGTTTGTTGCGGTTAAAACTGCTAGAAACGTTATACTTTAACCGTTAGAAAATACATTTTTTTTTCGTAGTGCAAGTAGACCACATTACATTACTACAGTACTTGACTGCTTGGTATTTTCCGTTCAAGTTGCAATCACGGTTTCTACCCTTTTTTTTTTTTAAATTCATAATTGTTGTGTTTTTGTTGTGTTGCAGGACGTACAAGTTGGACAGGAACTTACCAAAACTCAGGGTCGAGGGGTCGATTGTCTTTGGTAGGAAAAGAAAAAGGGTTGGTGGTCTTTTGAAAGGATGGGAGAGAACAAACAAACAAAATGGAAGGCGATAATCAAAGGCGGACGAGTTGTTTGAGATTGGAGGGGTTTTGCGTCTGGAATTGCAACAACAACTAGGAAGGTTGTTTTATTCTAAACAAGGAACGCAACATACAGGGACGTACGTGAAGTCCTGATTTCACAAGGCCTTCTTTCCACTCTTTCAGTGACGGCAACGCATTCATATCAAATCCGGGCAAGCAATATATTGTATACGTCTCTGCCACGTCAATTTTTTCATTGTAATTTCAAATAACGCAACAGATCTCATTTGTTTCCCACTTGCACAAGCTGTTCATCTCAATTCTATTTAAAATTACATTTGACTATGATCGGCATTAAAAGTTAAAACACGCCAACTCATGGTTAACCCCACATTATCTTATTAATATGTTTTTGGTAATATATCTATATATAAAGCCTATCTGGTGTTGGCTAATAAAAAAAGAAAAAGCCTATCTAGTCAACATTATCGATACCAATATAAGATCTATATAAAGTCGTGTAATTCACAAATTATGAACAATATTACTTATTCCTCAAAAGATTTATGATTCATGAATTATAAAAGAGCAAGTGGTTTGAACGTGAACGTTTTAATATGTTTTACTATATCAAGAGCTAGTTGACTAATTTGAGTAAATTAAGGAAACAAGTTAATTTAGTTATTTATAATAAATAGGTGTTGTCTTTCCTAAAATATTCTTATTAATCAAGTTTATTGGTTAGAATTACAATTATTAGAATGAGTATCTTAGAAAAAAATAAATATGAGAGATAAAGTGGATTAGGATATTATATTTAGAATAAAAATAAAAGTCAAACAAGGTCTTATATTAAGGATTGGAGATAGTACTCCACCAGTCCTTAATATAAGACCCATTTAACTAATTTGATTGGATTAAGAAAGTTAGGTAAGTTAGTTAATTATAAAAAAAAATGACACATTTTTCCTAAAACACCATAATCATCTTTTTTAATACCCCATCTCCCTCTTCTGCTTGATTATGGTTAAGAGAGTATCCATAGGAGTAATTTGGAAGAAATTGATAAATATAAGAAATGAGTCTTATATTTAGGACCAAAATAAACTCAATAATTAGATTTTATATTAAGGATGGGAGCAGTATTAGTTTAAAAAATTAAATAAACAAAAGCAATAATCCATGGGCAGTGCATGCTGAGTGCCGTGGACAGTGGCGTTTTGGGTTCCAAAGGCCGTACCCCGCCAAGGCCTTTGTATTAGGCTCATTTTTTTATTTCGATTCAAAACCAACGTTGCTTTTTATGGAATAAAAAATTATTTGAACGACGGTATGACCATCACATTACTTGGATTGGATCCGCTCCAAGTTGTCTTATAGAATTTCGATGATCAACGTTTGCATATTCTCAATATTTTATATTTCCCGTTTCAAATTAAGCGTGTAATTTCCTGCTTTTTGGGTTTATTCCGCGTCCCTTATCAACTTATCACATACATACACACACATATATATATATTCTTCGGATCATAGATATAAGATTTTTTTTATTGTATAAATTATATTAAAAAAAATTTTATATTTAGGACCGGTTGGAAAATATAAATATTCATACCAGATCCGGTCCCACGTACTTCTCACTCGGTGTCTTTTAGAAATATACAAGCTCTCTGGTTCTTCACATGAAAGATTCCTTCTCTCTTCCTTCCTTTTCTTTTGTAAAAGTATGAGTAATCTGGTGGTTGAATCCGTTGATTTCATGCGTCTGCTCGCCTGGGGAGACTGAGTGATTTGATTCATTCATTTTGTGATCAAATTGGCTTATTATTCAATAGTTTTTTCCAAAATTAATTTAATTAATGTCGTCGCAATCGTGAAATATTTTTTGGCTTTTCACTGTCAAGTTACTAAAAATAAACGTCTAGGAGGATAGGATATAAAATATTAAAAATAATATATATATATATATATATATATATAAAAGGATGGCTGCATCATTCATGTGGGAGCTGTTAAAAATTTTTGAAAAATCAGAAATAGTTACTTATATATCGAAGCAGACAATGAGCCTCCAGCTGTTGTGTGTCTTGTGATGAATGTATAAGAAGGACTGAATATGGAGTATAAGAATTAGCTAGGTTTGAATTTAGTTCTTAATTTATCATTTTTTTAAAAATCAACTTCCATAACTTACATTTTGATATATACGTATACATATGTATTATATAAACTAATATTATGTAGGAATATTTCAAAAAGATTATGTCATATTTGTTTTTTTTTTGGGGAGGGGGTTAAGTGGGTAATGCTCCAATTTTAAGTATGGGGCTGACTCTCGGTCGATCCAACAAAATGAAGTCCTAACATTTAGACAGTGGAAAACGTTTGTTTTTTGTTTTCCAGAATTTGGGAAGGGAATTGGATCACTAATCAGTGGAAGGCATGAGTGAAAGAGCACAGTAGTGTAGTGCAGGTGTTGTGAGGCGCCAATCATTAAAAAAATCGAGCAACAAACCGTGTGAGTCGTAGTTTAATTATATCCACAGCCTCACCAATCAAACCAAACAAAAATAGAAACAACAGAAAATATCTTTGGATCTACGGCCACTGCATGGCTTCCACTTTTCATTCATTCGTCTTTGTCCTCATTATTCAGTGAGCTGTGTCCCTCATGTGGGCCTTCTCTTCGTATCTTAGCATTCCCTTTCTCCCAATTTTGGTCCCCCGGCTTCACCATCAATAATAATTATCATCTCCTCATGATACTCTAAAATATCAAAATTGAAGCCTCTACTTCATAGTCACATACCTATTTGCCCCCGCTTGGGTTTCCGAGGCCTCCGGCCGGCCGCCATGGAGGGAAAGCCTCCTCTGTGAAAACCGGCCACTTCATCCTTGTTAACAACATCACAAGGAGTGATCAACTGATTAATTAAAGAGAGATAAATAAAACACGTGAACGAAGGATCAAAATAATTATGGAGATTTGGAGAGAGACAGACGGCGGGGTTGGTGGGCGGGGAGGGCTTTGACGTGACTTGAAGACAACTACTAAACACCCGCCAGCCCCGCCAGCTGATGTTATTGCTTATTCATATACATAAGCCCTCCACGGTTAGTCCTCTAATTACGAAGCGTCTTCTCATATTGGCCCCGCTTTTATGATAAGAGCACACATAGTCAGCACCGATCCAAAACAAAACTGCCTTAATTCCATGCCAACTTTGCATCCATCACATGGCTTGTCCCATTTCGATAGATTGCGTAAGGGGCTGATCCACTCATTCTTCCTGCCCCAAAAAAAAAAACCAACCAAAAGCACTACTTAAGTTCTGCCATTTTATTAAGCTTATATGGCCTAACGTACACCACCTCAAAATATCATGTAGATATGATCACTCCCCTCTGGATATTTCTGCTCAGCTTGCTACACTACTAACATTGTTACTTAAATTTGGTTATACACACACACACACCCAGTCTTAATATATATTTGTATGAAATTAATAATCAATACGAACATTAGGGAATTGAAGTTTAAAGTTGTTACGTTGAATGTATGCATCATCATGAGCATAGGAATGGGTTATTTGAATTGGAGATCCCTGGGGATCATTGAAGTTATTGGGAAGAAGCAAAATGAAAGCATGATGATGTATCTTGCACGAATCTGCCTCTCCCTCGGACACGATTTGCTCAACGACGCCTTCTTTCATCATTTGCGTTGTTCCATCACTTCTTCTAACTCAGTTGCGTTTTATGTGTAATCCACGTTATGTATCTACTCGCTTTTCATACTCTCTCGTTGATCTTTCCCGTTCGACTTCCGAAAGCACCGTGTAGAGCAACCAAAGTCCACAGACCACCTAATTGACACCAACGGATAAAATCTCCTTGTGCTTCAGGACCCCATAGTAACAACAAAGAGTGCGCTAAACTATTAGTAAGAATAGAGACTGCAGCATTTAAGAAGTGGTTCGGTTTTTAAAACATTGCCCAGAACAATCGATTTAATTGGTGGGCGTTATTATGCATTATTTATGAATTTATAATAAATTTCATCATGAGAATGAACTACACATACTTATCTATGATGTTATTATAAGAAACCGCAATGCGCCTTATAAATGATGAACAATCAGCAATGCTATTCACTCTTTAAATTCATTAATGAATGTTAAACAAAAGAGCTCGTAACAGGCGATGATGCATGCTATTTATTGTTAAAACTTAAAAATGTCACAGAAATGGGGGGTGAACCAGTTTGAAATGTACATGTATACGTATTCTTGCTATCGCGTTGGCCCCATTGCTTGCCATCTCCTAATAAAGTTGTCCACCTCAAATGAATTTTTTCAAAAAAAAATAAAAAAAAATTAAAGAATCATACATATGAGGAAGGGCGGGAACAGAACTAAATTACTGAGGAGTCCAGCACGACTGGCTTCTGGGGTCCCACACTCCGGGGATCAAGAACTTGTGGCGTGCCACGCCATACACGTTGAACGATCCGAAATTCCGACGGTCCAACAAGACCTTCCCTGGGTTTCCCGGCGATGCTCCGCTTCCAAACACCCCCTTGCACGACGCCGTCGCGTCCACCTCCTCGTTCCTGTATTCCACGTAAAACCCCTCCCCGTGCGGGTTCGTCACCGCTCCCATCAACCCCCCGGCCAGCGACATCACCATCGCGTCCGCCCCCAGGTTCGAACTCGGCGGCCTCAGCACCGGCGACCCTCTCGGCGCGTGCACGTCCTTCACAAAAGGCCACGCGCATATCGGGCACTCGTTCTCTGGATTCCCCACCAGCACATACGCTTGCGGCTTGTCGTTTATAGCTGCGCAGTCATTCAGTGCAATCATATATAGTATCTGGTTAGTGCTGATCAGAATTATTAAACATGTCAAAGACGCAAGGCATGGTTTTGGGGGCAAAGGTGAGAGAGATTACTCAAACTGCCGTGCTGCCAGCAGCTGCCGGCGCACATGTTTTGGACGGTGACGCCGTCGGAAGCAACGATGACGGCGAGAAGGTTGTTGTTGCCGCCGGTGAGGCCGGGGATGAGTGCCATGATCATGTCCTTAATCAAGACTTTGCCCTGCGAGTAGCCGGGGTCTTCCTTCTGGGCCACGACTTTCACTGGCATGGGACCCGGTGGTTTTCTGGCGAAGGTTTGGTAGCTCTCCACGACCTTCCACCAGGAGTTGACGTTGGGCTGGGGCGCGCTTTCTGCGTTGATGGACTTGAGGAAGGCCAGGATCTTGTTCTTCTGCACCTTGGTGACGTTGCCATACCACAAAATGGCGATGTCGATGTTGCCGGTGAGGAGATCGCCGTCGTTGTAAGCGAGGGGAGGGACGTGCCTTTCGACGGCGATGGAGGTGGCTTTGGCGGTGGGGAGGAGGAGAGCGAGAGCGAGAAGGATGGCGAGGGAAGCAGGCGGCATTTTTGGTCGTGAAAATTTATGCCAACGTTTTTCTCAATGCGGCATCCTAATTGCTATATATTGCCTTAATTGGGAGGTAATGCTATTTGTGGGCATCAGGGATGCCTCAGGTTCAGGCGAGGGGGCTCAATATAGAAAAGCATGTGGCCTGTGTTTACGGTGAACTATTCCCGGACCTTTGGTGTTTTGACATCGGGAAGACTGCTATAATTACAAACCAATTAATAATTGGTCAAAATGGTTTGAGTTATGGATGGAATGGGTCAAACCTATTATATTTTAAGTTTTTAACCCCGCGCAAATTTATATGGAATGAGCACTTTTATATAGATTACACATATTATTTAGCATGGATGGTCTCTGTATGTGTTTTTTAATTATGTTTAATATTAAATTCACACGGAGCAACCATGTATTTTTTCGACAGATGCTCCGTTTGAATGTGCCACCGGCTATATATATTTTGCACGATAATTATAAATTTTTTTCTGGTGAATTTCCAGGTATATTTCGGTGAATAATAATAAATTGATGATAACAAGAGTCGAACCAAGCTTTGAGCCTTTGACGGTGTGTGGAAGAGGGCTAAAGATAAAACAAACGATGCTCAAACGAAACTATGCTGCGTGCGGACTGAATCGCGCAACGAAGATGAGATGTGGGCCCGATAAAATCTCGAGCTATAGAATTTTTTTGGTATCAGGCCGCTTATCAAGAGGCCTGTTCAGCAAAAATATAAAAAGGCCCAGGCCGTGCTAACACATGAGGATTCAGGGAGAAGCCATTCCACTTGTGCTCTGGCACCATGGGATTAAACCGGTGAGCCCTGAGATAGACAGACAAACAGACAGAATAAAATAAAACCAGTGAGCAAAGTATTAAAAATCAGACCAGTTAATGAACCGATTGATGTAATGATTCAAAGGTCAGTGGGTTAGACGAGGGTCAGACTGAAATTAGACTGATCATAATTAAATACTATAATTTAATCAAAAATACTTATATTTAACTATGAATGTTTTTAATTATAGTTGGAGTGTGATATTTTTTTTTGGTGATAAGTTGGAGTGTGATTTTAAGGACCTTTGAAGGGCAATAGAGTCAAGTCATATTTAAAATAGCTTACTGAGGTTTTCTAATGGCCTCTGTCTTTCTTTTTTCTATGACCCTTCGACCCCAACGCTTCTTTCTTTTTGTTTGTCAGTTAAACCAATGCTTCTTTCATGTTCATACGCGTGCTCAAATTTTATTTTATTTTATTAAAATATATTGGAAAATGGAACTCCAAAGCAAGTACCTACTAGGCCGCTACCCATAGTTCCCCACGACGCTTTGGTTTTTTGTTCTTCTTTCTTCTTTCTCTACATTCTTCCATTCCATCTACTGAGTATCTTTTTTATCTCATTTTCAGATCTTGCATCTTCTTCTTTGCATTCTTTTTATCTCACCTGATATTTTAGTCATCTTCTTATCTTAATCTTCAGATTTCGCAACATGGCCCTTTCTTCTAGTGGTTCCGCTAAGATCTTCAACGATGGGTCTTGGTCAACTTCTTTTTATTCTTCAACCTCCACTGTCTTGGGTTTGTAGTTAGTAAAATCGTCTAGATTTCTCTTCTTTTTTTTTTTCAAGCATAGTGATTTATATTGTTCTTTCCTTTTTTCTTCTTCTTCCTCCCTCACCAATCTGGATCTCTAGCCTCCATCATCTTTGATGCTTGAAGTTTCAAAAAACTAACCGGGTTAACTCGCCTAACCCAGCGGGTCACATCGATTTATACCGAGTTACCCCCTGACTCGAATTCCTCCTAGTTTGCACATCAACCGGATCAGACCAAGTGCTAGGTCATCGATTTTTGATCTAAAATGGCTAGTTTGGTCCGATTTTTAATACCGTACCAGTGAGTATGCTTACATCAAAACTTCTACCAAAGTAAGAATAAAAGAATTCAAAAATTCCTAAGGAAGGATAAACACAGAAAAAATCTTTAAAAAATATTTATAAAATTTTAAAATTTTAAAATCTCAAATCAAGAAGAATTACTATAAAGATGTGTTAACATTTACTTTTCAAATATTGTTAATTGTTATTAAAATATAGTAAATAAAAATATTTCAAAATTTAAAGATATTTTTTTTTAGATTCTTTTCTAAGCAAATTCTGACAAACGCAAATCTTGCTCAAGGCTGCTGGTGCTCCTTTCTCTATAACTGTGCGGAATAACTATTTTCCGAGTAGATCAATTAAACAATTTATTTTGCCCTGCAAAATACTTTCTTATTTGAGAGTATTATAAGTAGTTGGGTTTGAACTAAAAAAGAATATGTAATTTTTAGATGATTTAAATTTTTATAAAAATAATTTATCACTAAGAAGTTTTAAATATGAATTTCTTTTAAAAATTTCATAATATTCTTGAGCATTTCTGAATTTTCATTAAATTTTTATTTGCATATTTGATTATTTTTAGAAGCTAGCTGATGTGGTTTCTTTAATTAATAAGATTTTTTTGAAAAATATTTTTTTTCACTTTCACATATATTGATTTTTTTTTCCAGCAGCTTATGAAAAGCTCAAACAAATCTTGCCTCTACATTGGACCCTAACTCTGAACACCCGCGCCTTCTGGGGTAAATAGCATATTTTATTTTTTATGACCCATGGCTTTTTTTTCCCCCGGAAAAAGCCAGTAAAATTTTATTGACAAGAAGTACTTATCAAAAATTTATACATGAAAGCACGGTATTTTTTCTATCTAATTTTTATACATGACATTTTTTTTTACCATTTTAATCATTATTTGTGTATTCTACTGTGATGGCTTTCGCAGAGCTTCTAAATTTCCACGGCATCTCAATTTTGCGCTGAAGAAGGAAAAAGAAAAGTCCCAACTGAGGAAGCTCGCTGCCATGGAGCATCCCCATGTTGCGATAATTTGATGGTCGGTTCTTCCGAAGAAGGGAGTGACAAAGCAATGCGGAAAGCGATGTCCTTTCTTGCTCAACCGCGATGCCTGCTCCTGTTCCTTGTTCTTTCAGTTTTTCTGATTTTCGCCTTCTCTGTCTCCAAGCGGGTATGATTCTTATTTTCCACCCATTCATGCCCACACTACTCGCCTGTCGTTCCGATTTCGATAATTTTGCCTGGCTGTGGGCGAACTGTCTCATCGAAGATTTGGATAATTTGGATCTGAATGCTCAGTGCCAATCTTCCTGGCCTCTGGAGCACCGTTTGGTCCTTTTGTTTGATTTCTCTTTCCGATGTGGCTTGATAAAAATTTCAGCTTGCACGACTGCAGTTTTGCTTACATTGCACTGGCTTCTTAACTAACTTAGCTCCTCGTGTGAAACGTAATTCTTTCACATTGTTGGATGGTATTCTCCTGCAGTTCTCCAACGCCCACTTATTATAAGTTTTACCGGCTAATAATTTCAATTGGCTTCTTATTGGTGGATTTATGCATTCTAGTTCTCTGATGAATGGAAGCTCTTATTTGATGTTTTGATTGATCCTATAAATGATATTTTAGTTTGCCTTTGCACCTGTAAAGCACCGCTTTTTAAAAAACAAAGAAACATTGCGTCGGATACGTATGGGTTACTTATGTCAGAATATATCTGACACTCAGATCATGTTCATTATCTGAGCTAGGGATTCTTAGCTTTAAGCTGTGTATTGCCTTACTCCTTCCGCATGACCACATTAATTTATTATTGACATCAGGTGAGTAATATGCCATTGATCATGAAATGTTTGTATCCGTGGCTGCTTAACTGACAATGGATAGAGATACAAAGGATGTTATTATGCAGAGATGATGGCATGCACACTTTTGTGGATCACATTTAAAAATTAAAAAGAACAAAGAGTAGCAGCGACCTGTGTTAGGTTAATGACTATTAAGTTGATGACAATGTGACATATGAGCAAGAAGTTGTCGGAAAGATCTTGCATTAATAGAGAAAATTGTATTGAGTTCGTTGATCATTGATCATCACATGAAGGTACTCTGATCATCATTCTGTACTATCAAATTATTGCAACTATAAAATTGTGCAATGGCTACTGTGTCATAAAACCTATAGAGTGAAGTAACTTTATTTGTTTATCTGTCTTACCATTCCTATGCTGCGATGAGAACCCTTTCAGGCACATTAGCTATGTAGTCTACAATTTAACCTACCTCGTTGAGTATAGAATCTACAGGAACATCATAAAATAGTTTTATTATGCTGCTCTTGTATCTTAGGTTTCACTGAATATAGTTAATTGGATAGGCGGACCATGGGAGTTGATTTCAGGCTTTATGTCTTTCTCTTGTTATGTACCACCTGTTAAAGTAGTCAAAAACTTTGATTTTAGTTGAGCTTGAGAGATTTGGTGAAAGCAATTCCTGGTGTTTCTTGTTCTTGCTTTTTCTTTCCAGCTCTTTAAAGCACCAGAGTGCTTTTGAGAGATGTGGTTTAGTATTTAGGCTTGTTTTATACCAATCTGATTGGAAATTGTTAACTTGTTTAATTGTAAATGCACTCCACTGAAGATTTCCATCACTTTTTGTTGATCTTTAGTCAATAATGAATTTGCTTGTCTCTGGCGTAGGCTGAGGAGAAACCAGAAGAGGAGCCTGAAATTACACACAGAGTATTCTTGGATGTTGATATTGATAACCAACGCTTAGGTGTGGAGCCGTTTATACTGGAAATTTTTACTTAATTGCTAACATTCAGACCCATTGGGTTTATTAACTCATAAAAAAGGGTGTAAGAACCTTACAGAATAAGAATGAAGGGGGGAGATAAGCTAATAAATGCAACAATAGGTGCTTTCTGTTAGCAGCTTTTTTTATCCTTTGTTTCTTGATACTTCCTTATATGTGCAAAAATTTCTGCAGGTAGGATCATTATTGGATTATATGGCCAAGTTGTACCAAAAACTGTGGGTATGTGACAACTTTGTTATCTAAATTGCTTAAAGTGGGAGTTTAAATTTCCTTTTCGTATGAATTGAGGGTGTCAACCTCCATCTCAGTGCAGTGGGCATTTTATAATTTTTGGGGCAGTTCTCGTTTGCCACTTGTCTTGCAAGGTGGCCATATTTCACGCTGTGTGATCAAATAAATTCATCATGTTATATGAAGCTACCTGATGGGTGCTCTAGTGGAATGGGGAATCATTCCCTGAACATTAGCTTAGTCATTTGTAGGGAGCCCTTTCCGGAATCATCGATCACCAATTTTGATACCAATTGATAGATATCTAAGTGAGATGGGAACTCTCCCTCTAAATCAAGTTAATGAGGTGGGAGAACTAACTAACTTGTGTACCTCATAGAGCCTCTCATGCCAGTCCATCTGGGACTTAGGAACTGCACATCATCTTAATTTCTATTACTACCTCGTTGGGGTATGCATGTAATTCACATATGGTACTATCAGTGATATCCTCTTATCTTTCAACATCTTGATGATTGCATTGTTTTGTCTGCAGATAATTTCAGAGCTTTGTGCACAGGTATTTGATGTGTGCTGAAAGTTCATTGTTAATTTACTTTCTTTTTATTATTCTCTATGCACTGATTTGAGTTCGTTATGTAATATGTAGGGGAGAAAGGCAAGAGTTCCAATGGCATAAAACTTCATTATAAAGGAACACCATTTCATCGCATAATATCCGGTTTCGTGATTCAGGGTGGAGACATTGTTCATCGAGATGGCAGGGGATATGAATCTATTTATGGTGGCACCTTTCCTGATGAAAATTTCAAGATAAAACATTCCCATGCTGGTCAGTAAAATCACTTACTTGGAAAGATGCATTCATTTTGCTTCATCTACAAGGTTTTCCATGCCTAATACTTGATTCATTCCTCCATTTCTGAGGTTCACTTATGGGTTACTTCTTTGAAAATTCACTCTATTCGTACAGGGGTTGTCTCTATGGTGAATTCTGGACCTGATTCCAATGGCTCGCAGTTTTTTATCACCACCGTGAAGGCTAGCTGGTAAGTTATTCTGTCGCCAGGTTAATTTATTGCTCCTAGACAGATTTTTTTCTCTCCAGACATTGCATGGTATTTGTTTCTCGGATCACTGATGAGTCTTAGAAACTGCATGTTTTGGACCTTGTAAATTTTTTGGTTGCTGATATCATTTTGGACAATCTAATCTCTTGTTTTCTTGCGTTACCCAAACAATTATGAACAGTCTCATACCCCTTTTTTCTGCCCGAAAGAGTGTGTGTGTGGCCTGTGTCTGTGTCTGTGTCTGTGTCTGTCTGTCTGTCTCTGTTTTTTTGGGGTGACAAGCTTGAAGTCTCATTTGGCATAACAGAATAAAATGGAATGGAAAGGGAAAAGGAAAAGGAATGAAAGAAGTGAATTTTTAAATGAGAACTGTCATTCTTGCCGTTGACGAAAAATATTAAAAAGAACATGTAGTTATTGTTGGATTATAATAACGAGGATATTATAGATATTGCACGTCTCCATTTCCATTGAAGTAATTAAACGCCTTATATTTGTTTAATAATCTTGAATACTATAATTTAGGTAATTAGGTTTAGCTTAACCTGGCTTCATCAAATACTCCTTGTGAATTTAGTATGTTATTGCCAAGGAAAAAACTGCTCATAAAATATCATGTCATTGTGCTTTTGCGATGCTTGGCTGTTTTGTAATCGATCTGCTTGAAAACTTTGCAGGTTGGATGGAGAACACGTTGTATTTGGGAAGGTATTAGAAGGTATGGACACTGTGTTTGCTATAGAAGGGGGAGCTGGAACTTACAGTGGTAAACCTCGAAAGAAAGTAGTAATATCAGACTCTGGAGAGATACCCCAGAGCCAGTGGGACGAGCAAGGGCGAATTTCCTTGTCACAGTGACGACTAATCCCCCGGGGGGGGGGTTGTCCCGGGAAAGAAATTGTTTTAGCCTGTCGTTTTGGGTTCAATTTCCTCTGCGATGTGTCCATGAGGCCTTATGAGACATGATTTTCTAGATATGACGGTCTTAGGCATTCCAATAGAAAAGCAAGGGGGGTTGAACCGTTGAAGTAATGTTAGGTGTAATTTTCCCCCTTCAGAATCTTTGAAATTGATGTAGGTTGTGTATCTAAATATACGCACTCTTGTTTGAAAAGATTCCGATTTTATTCATAAAAACATGTGAATGGGCCATGAAAAAGAAGCAGAGCCACACCAAGAGCACCCGATCCAAAGGCGATTGTATTCAATAATGTTGGGAGTTTTGTATGGATTAGAGGAGCATGTTCCAATTTCTCTCTCTAATTCGCCAAATGCAACTTGCTTCGCAGTGTGTAATCCTGGATCCGATAACTATTTCAAAACACAGGGTTCAAGGTCCAAAAATGACTCTTCCTGACGGCCTCGCCTCAGTCCAGATGTGCACATTATTGGTTGAATGGACAGCGTAAAATGAGAGATTCGTGGCAGCCAGTTTACACAGCGAGCCATGCAAATTTTCATCGCTTCAACAAAAATTATTGTTATTACTCATATTTTATGTCCACATATAGCGAGGAGCAGATGTTGGATTTTGTTGGACAAGGGAGTGGGATTCGCAGCCAGTGGGGTAATCATGAGTTGATGGAGTCAAGGAGGCTTAGCCATCCATTGGATGGACATGCCTATTGCTTCTCTTGTATTTGTAGTTATCCCTGTTGGTCAGCATTACGTAGCGGTTTGCTCCGATACGACAGTGGATGCATTATAAGTTTCATCTACTAAGTTTCGCAGACAATTCCGTGGGAAATCTCAAACCTTGAGGCATGAAATCTCCGAGCTGGTGAGATGTACGTACATGGACGTGGAGTGACATTGGAATCCATAAGAAGCTTTTCTTTCATTTTCTTTTTCTGTACACATTTGTGTTTATGATCTCTTGTTACCACCAACATCCCTTATTAAATATGTCTGCCTTAGATAGCTCTGATTGCTTTGCTTTCACGCAACCACTAGTTTCTAGAGACAAGCAGAGGGGATTATGGGAAGTGGGTGTGTGATCCGAGAGGCAGCCAACGGATGCTACTTCCTTGCTCATGTCTACGTATTGTGAGATCATTTCATTTTAAACTAACCAAAGGGGGAAAAAAAAGATTTAAAATCCACTTATGTGGGAATTCACCTTCTAAACATAGGATTACCTCTCAAAAGACCTCTGTTGACTATTGATGATCCTAATATCAACTATGTGATGTATGCTTTGTATAATGGCATCCTATCTGTGAGAGTTTAAAATCACCCGCAACCAGCCTATGCACATTAAGAGTTAAACTAGTCAGTATTTTTTATTTCATTGCAACAAAAAAAAAATATATCTTTTTGGAGGGGTTGGGAGTTAGACCAGGCAGGCTAGCATGGATGCCGTATCATCAGGCAAGGCTTAAGATCTATGGACTTTAAAATATTGGGGAGCGGGAAAAAAGAAAACAATTATATAGATTAATCATGGGATTCACCTTTTAATGATTGATGTCTAATAATTCAAAACTTTACATTGTAATGTATGATTCTAAATTTTGAATCCTTAAGGACCCCCGGGAGCTGTTATCCTTCACCATCTAAACTTGTAAGGTATTAGTAGTATTCAAGTACAACGGTCTCATTTGTGATACCGTATCATCTTTCTTTACAAAAACAGGACATTGCCAATGACACTATCTCACGTAACCTATCCATCTACTAAGGCTGCTCGTCAACTTATAATGCGATATTTATATTTTTCCTTCTCTTATTTGCGTCATAAATCAGTCATACATGATGTTTGTTTTCATACAAAATTAAAAATATATATTTTATGACTTCTATTAATTAAAAGTTATATTGTCTCTTTTCTTTCTTATGGAATGCCCACGGTGGGAATACAGTTTAGAAAAATAGATACCCTTAAAATTAGTTTGAATGTTTTTAATAATGATCCTAGATAAATGAGAAATTAATTAAGTAGAGAGTGAGGGGCATATGAGTCAATGGGAGGGTGAGAAGTGTAAATAAGAGGAAAGAGGAAGGGCAATTTGAAAGGGGCCCAACTTTATATATAGACCCCACTATAATCCCGTCCTCCTAAACAGAGTTGAAAAGTGGAAAACAGAGAGAAGGGTTGCTGGTCATCACTCAGCTCTGCTCAACTCGCAAGGCACCACAATGGCGATGGCTTTCAAGATGGTACTTTAATCTCTGTTTTTATTAGTCTCTATCTCTATATATGTATACGAGGAATAGGAATTTTCATGGTGTGACGTGAAGCGTGTGTTAATTATGGTGGACAGGCGACTACTGGAATGTGGGTGGCGGATGAGTGCAAGAACTCGTTCATGGAGATGAAGTGGAAGAAGGTGCACAGATACATAGTGTTCAAGATCGACGAAGGGTCCAGGGTGGTCACCGTGGATAAGGTGGGCGGCGCCGCCGAGGGCTACGACGATCTCGCCGCCTCACTCCCCAACGATGACTGCCGATACGCCGTCTTCGACTTCGATTTCGTCACCGTCGATAACTGCCGCAAGAGCAAGATCTTCTTCATTGCATGGTACCCTCATTCCTTTAATTCTAGCTTCTCCCAGTGAATACACATTTGTTTTCCCAGATGTTACGAACAACTAATCCAGCGGGGCCAGCATAAAAAAACATTAACAATCTCAGCACAAGTTTGAATTATATGAAAACGGACAGGCTTGGCAATAAAATACCAAGATAGTAGCCCAAAGAGAAAGTGACCCTCGAACGCGATGAGACGGGTAGGTGGAAGTGGGATTAAAGAAAGCATGCAAATCAATAAAGGAATCTTAATTATTTTGGATTGAATGAAAAAAGGGAGATAAGGAATTAGTAATAATTGGAGAGGTTGAATGAATGTTTCAGGTCACCAACGGCGTCGAGGATAAGAGCAAAGATGCTATACGCAACGTCAAAAGATGGGCTGAGGAGAGTGCTGGACGGTATCCACTATGAGTTGCAAGCCACGGATCCAACTGAGATGGGATTTGATATTATTAGAGACAGGGCCAAGTGAACATACGCATCATGGCAATCAACATTGGTGCTGCTTATTATAATTAAGCTAAGGCCACCAGCTAATTATAATCATTTTGTCCTTAATCATCACATGTGCTCTTCCTCTCTTCACTTGGATTCTGGCACCAATGCATTCTCGTCCAAGTGGCGACTCTTATACATGTAATGCTCATAATTATTTATATATCCATGAATCTGTCGGGTGCTTGCCGTAACTTGAAGACAAGAAACCTTCCGGTCTTGTCCCATTTTTAATCATTAACATTTGCTCGCCAGATGCACCGGCTTTAGCTTTTCTAAAAACAAAAAAGTTGGATCCGCTTTAACTTTTCATTTCGTTCTTATCTACCCCTTCATTCACGATGCTAAAACAGGTGTCTTCTTGCCTTCTTGGCTTCTTCCTCTTAATTAGCATCTCACATCATCTTTTTTTTAATTTTATTAAAGTTAAAATAATGTCACGTAAGTCATAATCAAGCGGTTCGATTTTTTTTCAGAAAAAGAAAATTTTTAATTCTAAACTCCAACATAACGAAAGGCTCTAACACACTTAGGCGCATTTCATCCAAAATAATACTCCTCCGGTCCTAATTATAAGACCCAATTGATTTATTTGAGGAGATTAAGGAAGTAAGTTAAGTTGGTTATTTATAATAAATAAGTGTTGTCATTCATAAAATATCCTTGCTAATTAAGTATATTGGCTAAAACTATCATTATTAGAAGGATTATCTTGGAAAAAAATGCATAAATATAAGAGACAAAATGGATTGGGTCTTATAATTAGGACCAAATAAAAAGTCAAATTGGGTCTTATAATAAGGACCGGAAGAGAAGTACTTCTCCAGTGTCAAAGTGAGTCTTATATTGAAGACCAGAGGAGTAATTTATTAAAATTTCACACAAACACATAATGCCTGATTGAAAACAAAATTATGGTTGTGGGATTTAAATTTTATTGAGTAGTATTCTCAATTTAAATGTTGATAATTGTAGAGTAAAAAATAATTTGAATATCAGTTAATATAACCATTAACCAGTGTATCAACCATGCCTTTTTATACTGATTTTGAAGGTCTCATAAACTTGATTCTTAATGTTTTAAGCTAAGACGTGCAATTATATTGTAAAATAATTACTGCTCAGTTTAGATCACTTGCTTTTGTTGGGAAGAGTCTGAACTCGGGAGATTATCCATGTCCCGTTTTAACTTTGCTTAATGAGGTCAAGATATTGATTTATTTAGGAGTTAAAATATCTTTTATTTTTTGCATGAAACATCCCCTAAATCTTGTTGGTTGCTCAGAGTCATGCACGAAAGAATGCAGATCCGTGTAATGGTTATTGAGGTTGGCCTTGATCGAGGGATTCCCTTGTCTAAAGATTAAAGAAACACATCCAGAATTGGTGTTTAGTTGATGAGGAAGGCCATTGGGAATTATGAATGTCCCTATGAAAAGGAAATTTGCATCAATTCATGAACTGCAAGCCATGTAACATCCATTATCAGTATTTAGAAACTCCAACCACTCCGTCCTGTTCACTCCACTCATCACATAGATCATGATCCAGCCCTCTGTTCATCAATCAACCTATCATTTCAAGTGATGATAAATGCACGCATTTTAAAAAGTTTTAATAAAGGCTGGAGGAAGGGTTAATTCACCTGGAGATGATGCTTTTGTCGAGATGTGGAGGATGAATTATGGGCACTATTGTTTTTGTGAATGAGGATAGAGAGAGGAAGCATCCAAAGAAATAAAGGGTCCATTATGAGGGAATAAGAATGCAATTGAGAAATGAAATGAGTGAGTGGTTGGCTAATGATGGTTCCTCCGTTCCCTCTTTCAGCGCAAGCATCGGTGGCCAATACGGCTTCCAATCATATCTAAACTCCTCAATCCCCAGAACACAGATGAATGATGTTCAGCTGTTGGCATTCGAAGGCTTCACACGAGAATTCCCCTTCCCTTTGCTTGAGGGCCTGACATCTGCATATTGGGCCGAGAAAGAGAGCAAGTAAGTTGGGCCGAGAAGCGCCCACATGGCTTTACCCTCAGATTTGAAAAAAAAAAAAGGAATGGAATGAGAGAATCAATGATGAAACGAAAGGACCCACGATGCATGCGATGGGGATGGAAGAGCCCCACCGGCATCTCCGAGGTGGTCACTCCCTGCTATAATCGCGCCCAACCACCCTCTTCTTCTCAAAAAGTGGGATATGACTGCTACCCTTCGTGGGCCCCCCCCCGGTTCAAAGCCGCCATCAGATCCATCCCATGGCTGAGGCCAATCCTGTCATGACTCGTGACAACAACCATAGCCCTTGATCACAGTAATTTATAAAATCTCAAGTTCCTACATGTGTCTGGTTATATTTCATGATTTCTATCGGTCATTTTCTGTTGTCTCTGTTGTCCAGTGTCATAGAAAATGAACAATAAATTAATAATTTGGAATGTCGAGGAAGCATTAGGGGAAAAAAAATGTAGGAAAATGAAGGGGGAATGACTTTGATGCAGGCTTTTGCTTTTTATGGCAACTCTTGCCTTCAGTTACCGGGGGTTACAATACGAGGAATCATCTTCTCACTAGTCATGGTTAAAATCAAATGGGGGCCAACTGTAGGATGCTTTGTTCCTGAAAATCTGACGGCTAATGTGGTGAGAGGGATGGCCCACTCCGCGGAGGTGTTGCGTGGGAGAACCGGAGAAGTAATGGTGGACCGTCCGATATGCGAGAGAGGGCACACTTTTTATTGGATCGTACAAATGTTAAGGTACGGCACACTGCGCCCTCGCTGCGGAAGCAGCCCTTAGCCTCTTCCCCTGCCATATTGCTGACAATGCAATTTTTTTTTTTGAACAGCATTGCATTCTTTGAATGAATGACATCATCATTTCCCCTTTGCTTTTTTAGGGGCGAAAAAAAAAAGGAAGAGGAGGTCTGACCCATTAAATTCCAAAACACATGCTCCGTCCATGTGCCCCCCAACTTCCTGTCTCCCCCTTTGACCATCCCCACCTGCCTTTCTTTCACTTTTTATTCTTTTTCTTGTTTTAGTTAACAAATTCTCTGTGGGATTTTCCGCTGTGTTACTGACCTGTTTAAAAAATTAAGTTAAAATGTTATGTTCGCAATTGTCCCTTTAAACCCAAGCAAGCCCCAACCATTGTCCTGGTGGGCATTAATCATGAGTCCGTTTAAACATACTCCTCCGGTCCTTAATATAGGACTCAATTGGTGAGTTAGTTTTGGTTCTAAATATAAGATCCATTTCTCATATTTATCAATTTTCTCTAAATTACCCTATAGATACTCTCAATCACAATCAAATGTAGAAGAGGGAGAGGGATATTAAGAAAGATGTTATGGTGTTTTAGGAAAAATGTGTCATATTTTTTATAATTACTAACTTACCCAACTTCCTTAATTAATCAAATTAGTTAAATGGGTCTTATATTAAGGATCGGATGAGTACTTTTTATAAAGGAAGCCGGTCGAAAGAACCAAATCCCTCATATATTTGGATAAAAGCGCCCACCCCCGGCATATGGAAGTTTCTTGAAGATGCTCGTAGATTTGCACTGATTTGGTCAGTAAAATTTTTTGGGAAATCTTATGAAACGCATTGCACAGTTTATTATAATCATCTTTAAATCTCGATCCTTGCTGCTCAATATTTGTGTCACTTGAGTTTTTTGACCAATTATTCCGACTTTATAATGGGAGCTCTTCTATAATTTAGCAGAGATGAACTCTGACCGTGATTGTGGGAGGAGAGCAGCAGTGCCAGTGTCGCTGAGCTCCACGGCTCTCTTTTTCTGGGCGTCCCCTCACTTTAAATATCTGTACCTTTTCTTTTCGGCACGAATATCGGCACCCCCTGTCTCCGTCTTTCTACATACGCAAAACAAACGAAAGAAATCGACTATCGTGTGTCAAGGGCGTCGGTGCCGTCATGAACAGGGAGTACCGTATGCATCTAACGCATAATAAGTGGAATACGTTTAAATTCCATCATGCGTAAAAAAAAAGTGAAAGAGCAAAAGCAGATAGCATTAGCATGACCCCTGATTTTAGAGAGTAGGCGACTCCCCTAATTGGCATGAACCCCCAAACATATCTCATTCCATATTCATGACACCACATGCCAAACTTCTTTCCCTTTTCCTGCATCTCCCCCTTTCCACGGCCACTCTTGTTTTTGAAATACATGATGTATTCGAGCAACCAAACATATGAGATTGAAAATTAAAAAAAGAAACTAGTTTATATGCTTCTTTTAAGAATACACTATATATAAACACAACAGGTATACGTAGACGTAGAAATTTTTGAGGGTCGTAAATCCGAAACAGGGAGGTGGGGATCGATATTTTGGGCACGCTGAAGGCATTATTTTGGACATGACATGCTTACAATCTCATATGTGTGATCCTGTTTGCATTGACAATCAATGGCGACAAACGTTGCATCCACTGATCTCTTCTGTGCCGCATCATGCATTCATTTTACTAATGCACGTAACTTCATCTGATTCTGCCTGGTCCACGTGATTTGTTCCCATGCTAAATGGCTGTCGCATTCGCTCCTAATCCTGCCGTCGGCTTTGAAGAACGACGTCGTCTCCACCAGCATCTTGTTTGTGTTGGTAACAGTAGCCCGTTGGTCCCACTCATTACACCTCACTCGCCCCATATCCATAAAACCGCTCCCAACTTCTCTCTGTCACTCCCCCACTCCTCACTCCCTCCCTCAACTCTCACTCCCCTCGTCTCCCTCGCCATGCCTCCCCACCTCTTCCTTTTCTTCCTCCTCCTCTCCCGTTCCCTCTCTCTTGCTTCATCTCTCTCCACTCCTAATGCTGCCAAGACCTTCATCTTCCGGGTTCATTCTGATTCCAAGCCCTCCATCTTCCCCACCCACTATCACTGGTACACCTCCGAGTTCGCTGAGCCCACTCGGATCCTTCATGTTTATGACACCGTTTTCCACGGCTTCTCTGCTTCCCTTACTCCCCAGCAGCTCGATTCCGTAAGACAGCACCCCGCCGTCCTCGCTGTCTTCGAGGACCGTCGCCGCCGGCTTCACACCACTCGTTCCCCTCAGTTCCTTGGCCTCAGAAACCAGCGTGGTCTCTGGTCAGAATCCGACTATGGCTCTGACGTCATCATTGGAGTTTTCGACACTGGGATTTGGCCCGAACGCCGCAGCTTCTCCGATTCCAATTTGGGTCCCGTTCCCCGTCGCTGGAAAGGGGTTTGCGAGACGGGGGTGGAGTTTTCCGCAAGCAACTGCAACAAGAAGCTGATTGGGGCTCGTTTTTTCTCTAAAGGTCACGAGGCGGGGGCCGGCTCCGCGGGTCCCTTGAACCCCATCAACGAGACTGTTGAGTTCCGATCTCCTCGAGATGCGGATGGCCATGGGACCCATACAGCATCAACTGCAGCGGGTCGGTATGCTTTTCACGCAAGCATGTCGGGTTATGCCTCTGGGATTGCGAAGGGTGTGGCACCCAAAGCAAGATTGGCGGTGTACAAGGTCTGCTGGAAGAATTCAGGTTGCTTCGATTCTGATATACTGGCTGCTTTCGACACCGCCGTAGCTGATGGTGTCGATGTCATTTCTATATCAATTGGCGGTGGCGATGGTGTGGCCTCGCCGTACTACCTCGACCCCATTGCGATTGGTTCCTACGGTGCGGTTTCCAAAGGGGTTTTTGTATCGTCTTCAGCTGGTAACGATGGGCCCGGAGGAATGTCAGTGACAAACTTGGCGCCCTGGTTGGCGACGGTTGGAGCAGGCACTATCGATAGGGATTTCCCTGCGGAAGTGATTCTCGGTGATGGCCGGAGATTATCCGGCGTCTCTCTTTACTCTGGAGCGCCATTGAACAAGAAAATGTATCAACTTGTTTACCCTGGCAAGTCAGGGGTTCTGGCCGATACACTGTGCATGGAAAATTCATTTGATCCCAAGCTTGTCAAGGGGAAGATTGTGATATGTGATCGCGGAAGCAGTCCGAGAGTTGCTAAAGGATTGGTGGTGAAGAAAGCTGGCGGCGTGGGAATGATCCTAGCTAACGGTCTTTCAAACGGTGAAGGTCTGGTCGGTGATGCACATCTTCTTCCCGCCTGTGCTATTGGCGCGAATGAAGGAGATGCCATCAAGGCATATGTCTCATCTTCTGCAAATCCCACGGCCACCATTGACTTCAAAGGCACGACGCTTGGAATTAAACCCGCACCTGTTCTGGCTTCTTTTTCAGCCAGAGGACCAAATGGTTTGAACCCGGAGATACTGAAACCGGATTTGATCGCCCCAGGGGTGAACATTCTCGCTGCTTGGACCGATGCAGTTGGCCCCACCGGGTTAGATTCCGATTCGCGAAGAACTGAATTCAACATCTTATCAGGTACTTCAATGGCTTGTCCTCACGTAAGCGGTGCGGCGGCGTTGTTAAAATCGGCACACCCAGACGAGCCCAGCTGCTATAACAGCCAGACTCGATAACAGAAACCAGATCATGAGACGAAGCTACGGGGAAAGCTTCGACACCATATGATTTTGGTGCCGGACATCTCAATCTGGGTCATGCTATGGATCCTGGTTTGGTGTACGATATCACGGACAAAGATTACGTGAACTTTCTGTGCGCTATCGGTTACGGGCCGAAGCTCATTCAGGTGATGACTCGATCACCGGCGAACTGTCCGGCGAGGAAGCCATCGCCGGAGAATCTGAACTACCCATCTTTTGTGGCTCTGTTCCCGAGCTCATCCGAAGGGGTATCGAGTAAGACGTTCATCCGGACGGTGACGAATGTGGGTCCGGCAAACTCGACTTACCGGGCGAGAGTGGAGTCACAGCCGCAGGGGGTGAGTGTGAGTGTGAGGCCGTCGAAGCTGACATTTTCGGGGTCGGTGAAGAAGCGGAGCTTTGTGGTGACGGTGACAGCAGACGGTCGGAATCTGAAGCTGGGTCAGGTCGGGGCAGTGTTTGGGTCGATCTCATGGACGGATGGGATGCATGTGGTTCGGAGCCCGATCGTGGTTACTCAAATGGAGCCTCTGTAACTATAAAGCGCTGCCACCATCACGAGTTGCCGCGCAAAGTAGACGACGGACGTCTTTACATATCCGTCTTTTCCATATTTCAAGCAAATTTATTTTTTACTCTTTTTTTTTTTTTTGGCTGAAAGTGTGATTCTGTATGTTCACTATAGTCTGCCACAGCTTGATGATGCATTTATAGACTCTAAGGTGTCTATTTATGCACAACATAACAAGTTATTTAACTTATGAGTGGGTTTGTAAAATTGAGAATGTTGGGTATGGGATGAGATTTTGTCTGGATGGAGGGGATGGGGAGAGTAATGCATAGATCGGTTAGGTTGGAAGCGTAACCAAGCATTGGAATATTTGTGCGGGGGCTACGATTATTGTTCGTTGAAACTAGAGGACATTGTTGGTGAAAACTAATAAATGCACTTACAGTTTGGTATTTTTTTATTATAAATTTTGAATAGCTCATTTATCAATAACGACTAAAAATTAAAATTAGTTAAAAATAATAAATAAATTATAAATATAATTTTATTTTTAAATATATTTTTATAATAAATAAAAAATGATAGAAAAGAGTGTATAAAAAAATATGATAAAAAAGTATAGCAAAGAAGAAAAAATAAATAACTAAGGGTAAAGTTGAAAAATATGTATTAAATATTTAAATAAATTTTAAATTCAAGCTTATAAAATACATCATAATTTTTTTAAAAATTAAAGCTTATAAAAAAGATAAGAATGAGTGCTCTGCTACGTGAGTTTGAGTGAAAATCAACAATCCGTGTGGGAGGCATGATGGGGATTTCTGGAGAGGAGAAGCAGAAGGGCAGTTGTAGTCTGGTTTTGTTTTTGGGCTTTGACGTTGATGTTGCGTTTGTCCAATACCATCAATATGTGTTTCCTTTTACCTCCTCCAAGCCCATCCGAACATATGTGAACACACATTCCGCCTCCCTCCTCAATCTCATAATTTACACAATACCAAATCTTAAAGCTCCAACTTACTGTAATCAAACATGACCCTTTTTTTTTTTTTCTGATAAAAAAAAAACATGACCCTTTTTTTTGGTGAGTCTATTGATTAGGCAAAAGAGAAAAGGAACTCAGGCCCATGGGCAAAAATGAGGTGACGAGGGCGATAAGAGGATAGGGCAGGCGTCACTTTATCGCACACCCTGTTTGAGACGGATGTCAATCACAAGGACGATTGTCCTTCCAGGTCCACATGGCCTCCAGCTGGTTCCCGCTTGATGGTCCCTCGAAAGAGGAAAGACTCCGCGTCATTCATCCTCTTTATCGTCCCCACAGCATAAACATATCAAATAGTGTTACCCTCAAACAAATAAGGGCAGTTCTAATCAGGGACGTAGTTGAGCGGTAAGTACTCATCTTCTCTTAATTAAGTATTGAAGGTTCTGTCCTCACGTTGAACATGAAAAAATTTTTAAAAACTTGAGCCAACTATCCCGCCTATCGAAATGTCTACAAGCCAATAAAAAGATTAGTCACCAAATTCGCTGGTGGATACCATGATGTTTCATTTAAAAAAAAAAAAAAAAAAGCAGCTCTTGTAGCCCTATTATAGTAGTTCCCTTCAGAAAAAGAGCGTATGAAAATCCCCAGCAAAGCAATCACCAACCCTACCTCTGATCTTTTAACATCAGAGAGTTTCGATTCGGAGGAAGTGGCAACACTGAGAACAATCAGTTCTGAGCACGGGTATGGAAGAGGAACTCATTCACCTGGCCTTTTTCACGTGAGTCCGGAGCTTCTCCTTCTGTATATCTAATTGAAAAAAAAAAAAAACACACAAGCACTAGGTTTCGTATAAGTAGCCATATACTGAGATGAGATATGGCTTTCCTGTTGGGAATATATATACACTCCAGATTTTTCACTTCCTGTATCAAAATGAACCGAGTTTTCATTTTTTTGATATGTACGCGGCTTCGTACGTGCTATGGAGCTGTGCTTTTAATAAACTTGTTGCTCATGATCACCCGCGCTTGTTCGCGTGACATTTCTCTCGTGACCAACATTGATAACTCCCTTCAATCATCTTAAAAAAGTCAAGACCAAATTAGTAGTATCATATACTTATTGTGTAAGGGTGTTTAATTTGTCTTGTTTCCGCAGCCCCATTCTCGTCTTGATTAATTCGGGATGGAATGCAACGAGCCAAAACAAAAAAAAAAAATTGATATGAGACAGGACGTGAGATATGACGGTCATCCCGTCCTGTCTTAAGATATTTTTTAAAAAATTTATTTATTAATAATTATTATTAAATTATTTAATTTACTTATTAATAATAATGATTTTTTATAATGGCTTTAAACTGCAGTATTATCTTAACAAAATCTCTTTTATTAAAATAATTTATAAAACCATTGTACAGTTTACCATTTTTTTTAGAGTGTTGTTTTTATATTTTTTTATATTATATAATTAAATTTTTTATATAATACTTTTTATAATGTTTTTATATTTAGAATTTCAATAAAAAGTGAATATTATAACATAAAAAATTTATATAAAAATTACAATTTCTTTTTTTTTGAAAAAAAGAGAAATAGGATGTTCTGTCCCATCGTGTCCCTGTTTATTAGAACGGGCTTATCCTCATCCTATCTCGTCTTGTAAACAATCCTATAATATCCATAAAATTATCCGTAAAGAACTAATTCAAATTAAACATCCCATCATCTTTTCATATTTACTTAGCTCTGTGCCATTTTCCTAAACAATTCAATTGGACCGAGCCTGCCGGCAAGTTTCGTCCGTGAAATACAATCGGGTGAACTATAGTTGACATTATTATTCTAACAAATTTCTCTGGGCAATCAATTCACCTATCATTATCAAAAAGACCATGTTTTAATTTTCCTTATGTAGTGTTTGGCCAAAAAAAAAATTTCCTTATGTACTGATAATTTCAAAATGTGGTGAGAAATTGCAGCTAGTGTAAAAATAATATTGAAAGAACCCTACGAAAACTCTAGATAAGCTATTTTTATGAATATATGTGATAAAATAATTATATTTAAAATTTATTTCTAGGTTAAAATGTTGAAAATCTTTATAAATGAAACCAAAATGAAGAAATTAAGAAACGGAAAATGTAGAAGGTGACGACAAAATAAATTTTATTCTAGATATTTTACCCGAAACAAGCCGAACCAAACAGTTCTCCGTCGTCATTGGTCATCACTCGCGGATAAAGCAAACTCAGATTTTTTTGTTGGTTTGAATTGAATGTCTAGTTTTTTTGTACTTTTGCCCATTAAATTTCAGTAGCCTTAACGGGGAAGGCTTAGAGGAACACGTCCGCGGGGAGCACACGCATGTGTCGCTCGCGTTGCTTGCCACATGTACGCTCTAATCCTCGCGCCCGTGTCGGTTTTCTATCTCATCTTATATACCCGATCCATTCGCCGGAAAATCTACTTCCCCCTGTGCTGGTTTCTCCTCGTTCTCTTCTGTTTTCCTTTTAATTCAACCGATCTGTCACCATGTCTCTCTACCCCAAAGTTGATTCTACCAACCCAGCCGCGGATTCTCCATTCACCGTCAAACCCTCCTCATCCTCCTCCTCCCTGTACCCCTCGGTCGACGTCGACCGCGTGGCTGAAAACCTCTTCGCCGAAGATGATTCCGCTTCGCAAAACGAAATCACAGCTCACTCCTCTGAAGATGTTCTCATCACAGTCCCCGGTGTTATTCTTCATCTTATCCAAAAGGATTCTAGCGTCCAGCTCGCTTCTGGGGACCTCGCCATTGTCACCCTCAGCCAAGGGGGTAACGTAGTTGCCGCCCTCGCTCGTATTGGAGATCAAATTCAGTGGCCCTTGGCTAAAGATGAGGCTGCTGTGAAACTCGATGAATCCCACTATTTCTTCACTCTTAGAGTTCCGGCGGCTGAACACGAGCACGATGCTGCGTCCGGAAACGAGTTTGATTTGTTAAATTACGGATTGACCATCGCGGCCAAAGGACAAGAAGGGGTGTTGAAGGAGTTGGATCGTGTTTTGGAGCGGTATAGTTGTTTTTCCGTTGAGAGAGTGGAGGGTGTACGTGGCTGGGAGGGGCTGGATGGCTCTGTGTCGAAGGAAACATCGCCGGAAGAATTGAAATCGCAGAAGAAAAAGGAATTAGTAGAGGAGAGCTCTGCTGCGTATTGGACAACTATAGCCCCGAACGTAGAGGATTATAGCGGAAGCTTTGCGAGGTGGATTGCCGCCGGCTCGGGTCAGGTCATCAGGGGAATCTTGTGGTGCGGTGACATCACTGTGGATAGGTTGAAGTGGGGGAATGAGTTTTTGAAGAAGAGGATGAAGTCGGGATCTCAGGTGGAGATGAGCCCGGAAGCCATGAAGAGGATGAAAAGGTTGGGAGTTCTATCTATGATTTCTCTTTATCCTTCTGCTTTTTCTGATGATTCGGAAAATTTAAATTTTCCTTTTTTATCGTTTTCCTTGGGACAGGGTCAAGAAGTTGACGAAGATGTCGGAGAAAGTGACGGTCGGGGTGCTCTCAGGTGTTGTCAAGGTGTCTGGATTCTTCACAAGTTCCGTAGTGAACTCAAAAGCGGGCAAGAAGTTCTTCAGCCTTCTCCCCGGAGAAATCATCCTTGCTTCCTTGGATGGATTCAGTAAGTGATTCGTCTCTTGACCTTTTTTAGCTCCATTTCTGTGTGCGCATTGTGGTAGGGATCAACGGGATGTGTTAGGCTATTATGTGCAAACTTGTAATTTACTAGATTAACTTAGCGATTTGAAAACTTGAATGATCAATCTAACACTGCCTTCACGGGAAGTTCCAAAATTCAACGCATTGATGTTATGCAAGCAATCATTCTATTTCTTCCCCTTCCCCGTCTCTAACGACCTTTTAGAAAATAACTACGGTAATGTTTAGTAGTTAAGTAGATACTGTTCGGTAATCTCCTTGAACATAGCTGAGAATGACATGTAAATGTTTATCCATATACTCCGTTGTCAGTAATTTTTGACTTTTTCAGTGAGTTTATATGCTAGTGTCATATGGTTGGGTTTCCGGACAGTTGCTTTACAGCAATTGGTAAAAATCTTCAGTGTCTTAAGACACCTCGATGCTATAGAACGAGTAGGGAGAGTTTTGTGCTAGAAATGGAACAGTCATGAACTCATAATCCGAGAAGCTGTAAAGATGAATCAATTTTCTTGTGTTAGCCAAATGTGGCTGCTACTTCAAACTTGTTCTGATTGTGTTATGCATAGAAAATTAAGGTATCTGTTTTCCTGCCTTAGTCTTTTACTGATGGCTGATCTTGGTGCGTGCAAATGCAGACAAGGTGTGTGATGCTGTTGAGGTTGCCGGAAAGAATGTCATGTCTACTTCATCAGTTGTGACCACAGGGCTTGTTTCACACAAGTAAGTGTTATTTTTTCGCTGTTTATAACATACTATATGCTTGTAATGTAGCAATGCTTAGAATCTTACCGTTCATGTTGAGGAGGGAGTGACGAGACATTGGGAATTGCAACTAGTTTTGTCTTGAGATGTAGAAACAGAGTATCCCTAGGCTTTTGTTGTTGGATTGGTGTGCATGTGATGATGTAGGACAAGGAGGCATCTTTTGGTTTGTTTAAGGTGGAGTTATTAATATCTGCAAGGGTTGGCTAATTTGATGGTGGGGGGCGAATGTGAATGAATGTGCAGGTATGGAGAGGAAGCAGCGAAGGTGACAAATGAAGGGCTGGGCGCGGCAGGGCATGCGATAGGGACAGCATGGGCGGTGTTTAAGATAAGGAAGGCCCTTAACCCAAAGAGTGTCATCAAGCCTACCACTCTCGCCAAAGCTGCTGCCCAATCTGAAGCCAAGTCCAAGAACAAGAATTAACACTCTCATTTCTCCCTTTTGTACGAATACTGGAAGATGAGGGACTGTCCACAAACCACAATATTGATTTGCTGCTGTATTCTTTTCTGAGGTTCATCGAAGTGTCGATTTGTATTTACAGTGAGTTCTTGATATTTTGTCATAGGAATCCGTGTCTCTACTTTACACTTACAAGCTCCAACCACAGAGTTTTACGCAGTGATTACATGAAGTTCATAGAATTAATACCATAAAGAAGTGTTATGATCTTATTTTCAAAAGCGATAGCAATAAAAATATAGTTGTTAAATCAAATGAATAATTAAATAAATTGACAGAATTTCGTATGGGGAGATGTGCGGTGGGAATCCAAATAATATGACAAATATAGGTCATGATACAAATAATTTCTCTCACCTTTAGCCTTGTTGTACATAATTTCCCATATTTTTGAAAAATCTATAGATAACACCTTCAATGTAGATAGCTTGACACTAATGGAATGGATGTCATGTAGAACTCAGCTGAATTGAAAGGAACCAAGGTAGGAAGTGATTCAATGAGACTTTAGGGTCCATCAACCTTGACAGTGAGCCGACTTATTCGTTTCCAAGCCCAATTGTTGGATAGCATCTCGGTCGAAATCAGCCCAACTCGTAAATGAGCTGGTGTGGGTGTTGATTGTTGATGGCCGAGTTGATTCCAAATCTTCGTGTGCCTCTGCGGGCTCATGGTCGGGTGGCAAAGCTTCCAAATTTGCAAGTACAGCGAGTGAGGTCTGCGAAATTCTCAACAGGCTTGAAGCACACAGCAAGTCACAGTGACTCGGAAGAAGCTGTTAACTTGAGAAAACTGCTCTAGAGATGCTATGTTGAGAGACGCTAATGAATGCGCCGCTCTCATGTGGCCTCGTCGCTTTGATCGTCCTCCCCTCTGCTCCGTTATCTGATTAGCGTGATGCCCAGTCTTTCGTTGAATTCGATCTTTTTGTATGGACTTCCGTGGCCATTCACTCAAATGGGTTCATCTACTGCTTGGATCCATTTCCCTGTGCTTCATGTTCAAATCCATCCTTAGTGATTACAACACATATCGTTTACTTAAAAGTTCTCTGATGGATTATGAATAGCCGGGGATGCTCAGAAGTTGTGTTGCATCTTCTTTCTTCATGTTTCCAAAAGTCGGCTCAGAGTGGAGCTGAATGAGACCCTAATTTGATTGTCCAGTTGAATACGCAAAGCATCTGGTTAAACAGAGGAAAGGTTTTGGGGTGATAAGGTGCACAAAAAGCAGTTAACATCTCGAAACGTAGATAGATAATCCAAATATGGTTATTTGATTAGCTATCTGGTTGGTAGACCTAAGGCTTTCATAAATTCGTCAAACCAACAGTGAGGGTTGTTGGGCCTTCTTTCTTGCTTCTGAAGCTGAGTGCATGTGGCAAAGCTGTTGGATACCTAATAATATTAATGGCTTCGCAAAGTCAGATCATCCGTAACCAATTGGAGATCAGTGTCATCCGTGATTTCCATGTGGGAAGAGGCGACGTGAGGCTTAAGAAACCCATCAAAACAAATCCAAATAATTCAACCTTTTCCTTTTCAGTGTCATCATCAAATTCAAGACGAGGGAGTTGGTATGTCTCTTGCCTTTTAGTTAATTATATTGTGGGATACAATGGCCCAGCACCACGTGACGCCACATTCACTACAAGTCCCGCTCCTCAATTTGGCTGAATGATAATATTTGGAAGCTTGCTTAGATTTTCCAAGTCTTGGACTTTTTCTAAACGGATGTTGGGCAAAATTTCGGCAGCTTCTCCGGCCTCCTCGCTTTACTCATAATGCGGTGCAGGTTATCGCACACAGACAACCCAAGTCCTTCGCTGGTGGCTTGAAATACCCAGCAGTGAAAATTACTCAACTTTCTCATCATTTGAAGCTCAATCAAAATCAACCCTCAATAGAACAGACCAGGTATATTTAATCCGAGATCAATCGGATCTCCGTTGAGAGGAAAGTTCTCTCTGTAGGTGCCGAGGGAAAGACTCAAGTAGCTACTGCTTAATTACCACTTTTTTTTTTCACTCCGTCATTAATTGCTCAGATACGAAAAGAAGGTTATTACTTTAAAAGAGTGAGGCTCAGTTACGGGAAAGGCGGAATAAGGGAAGTGACGAGTTTGATTGTGAAAGGAGTACTCTACATGGTATGGGATTGCCAAATCACCCAACCAGCCACCACCTAACAATATGGGCTTACATGCTTATCGGCCACACATTATCACACACACACACACATATATATATCCGTTCCTTCTCCATCCTCATCATTTCTTCACGGACGTCTCACCAAACTACCTCAAATTTATCCTACCAGATTCATCTCTGCTATCTTGCGCTGCATGCGCATCCTCTTGCTTCTCTGGTCATCTTGTCATTGTCACTATATATTTGGTATGGTGAGACCCACTATACCGGTCCATCTCTATCAAACACAAACACACACACATGTACGTCATTATTAACAAGTTAACCAGCCAGCTGAAATTCCTACGAACAATAAAAACTGTGAAGGAAAAAGTCAAAATTCATGATCAACTATGATTGATGTTCATGGTTTAAAGGTCTCTCATCTCTTGTGCATTTAAAATCAACGAGAGAGGGTTGGGATGTTTCTTTCTTATTGGTAGAGCCTGAGGTGCAAATGTAAGCAGCTGCAACTGGCAGAGTAATGATAGATACGATTCCTACTTATATCTGATAACTGATGCCACTGTCCTATATCTCAATATAATATCCCATTCCTTAGAAACAGAAGGAAGCCAATTTTACCTGTGGTTTTTTTTTTTTTAAATTTCCATATATCGACGACTCACGAGAATGATCATATAATCGGCAAAAACTAAATTTGGCTAGTTTTACGTACCTAGAGCTTAAACCAAGGTTGGACAACCAATTAATCATGCGTATCTGAAGGATCTGTACCCATAAATAACGGACCCTAGCTCATTTAAGGTCTCACGCATGTTGCCATTCATGCATTTGGCTTAGTTACATCAGTATTATGTGGCGTACAATAATTCTAAGCAAGCAAGCGCACGCATGTGCCATCTCTTGTAGAGGCCATGGATATATCAATATGCTCTTATGATTTTTAACCTAAGACCTAATTAATTAATTTGAATAGATTAAAAGTGATAATTAAATTAGTTAATATAATATATTTCTTCTAAAACACCTGTTACATATTCTTTAATTTTCTTCCTTCTTCTTTTACTTGATTATTGTTGAGATAATATCAATAGAGTTAATTCTTACATATAGTACCAACATCAACTTCCCAATTAGGTTTTACATTAAAAACCGGACAAGTATAAACAAAAAAAAAGTCATCTTTGGTGATGTGGTTGGCATGAAGATAAATGAAACCACAAGTCAAGAAGGTGATGTTGGTGAATAAGCAAGGAGATGGAAATTAATCGCAAGGCTATTATAGAGCTTGTAACCAGTAAAGAGAGAACATGTAGCTGGCGGAAACTTCTAATGTCTCCACCTAACACCATTGAAAAAGGGAAAAAGAGTGCGGAGGAGTTTGAAAAGTGAGGCGCCTCATTATGCGTAGGAGGGGCCATAGTCTTATGAATTATCCTTCCAAATCTGAAATCTTACATCACCCTATATATGTATCCATAGAATTCATTGATTTACTTCCCCCTTGGCATATTCCTTTTCGTTTTCTTCTATATCTTCTCTGCCCTCTTCTCACGGCCAGTACTTCTGCTTCTGCATGATAAAATCTGGTTCATATCAGTTACCTTTTAAAAGTTTCTTTCTGTCAGTCGGTATGCAACGTGATTATATCGAGAAAGAATAGCTCAGCAAGCATCAATTTTACTATAAATGATTTATAAAGGCAAGGGAATACGTTTCTGATGAACATCACATTTATTCTCCAAATAGGCTGATAAATACAAGTGCCTAAAATAATTAATATGGCTAATTCATGTCTGTCAAAGATTTATATATATATTTCACCTATATTTTATTTTGTCATTAAATATTAAAATGCCCAAGTTAAATTCTTAAAGTTTTAAAATGAATGTGGTATTCCAATTTCAAATCTTGAATCCCTCAAACTCTCTTATCTTTAAATTCGACAATATGTGTATGTCTGTGTGTGTTACCATATATCTGAGCGAATCATTTCTCTCTTTATTTCTTCCATATAGTTACATATGTATGATAAAATATATTATATGTTGTACTATTTATAAGTTATAAACAATGCATATCATTTGAAATTTAATGCACGCTATATCTACTCGGAGCATCCATTTCGCTGTACCAGAACTTTTGCATCTCCAGACGCTCAAGCAATATCTATCATGAAGAAGATGAGCTTCCTGTCAATCTGGAAGCTTTGCATCAACGGCACCATAAGGCGACTTTGGAGAAACTGACGATTGAGAGAAGAAAACGATGGATTATACCAATTTTTAATTGGTGGGTTTCATATAATCGAGGTCGACAAACTCACCTCCCCTCCTCTTTCCTTTTCCTTGACTCTCAACACACTACACACCGCCTCATGCACATGACTTGTGGCTCAATGCATCAATTTTTTTTAATTATCTCAACTTAATTATTCTGCTTAATTATAATCAGCTCTCCTGGGTTTTAGGACGTCAACTTTTGTGATCTTTTATAGGTTTAGTGGACCCACATCGGAAGACTTTGTATATTTCTTTACTTAATTCAAATTAGTGGCCAAAGTTTATTATCGGCAGTCATGCATATAATTTTGGAAATCAAGAACCCACTTTACGTTGAGAAATCGATCCAAGCTCTAAGTTATTAGTTTATGTATATATCCCAGTAGATTAAAATAATAAATATGTTGTTATCATTTGCGTAGGTATTCGATTAGTACTTTTTTATATAGCACCTGTGGTTAGAGTGATATCTTGTGTGTGTAATAGTAGTAGTAGATAAAGAACGGTATCTTCGTCCGAACGCAAAGTTCACATAGTACTACATATTTATAGGTAAAAAAAAACACGGTTGTTTAAGGATGATACAATACCATAATTTACAAATTCCTACTAACAAACAAATTATAAAATTATAACAGCAATGCAAGCGGATTATGGTACCAGAAATCTAGGTTATTTCTACACACACACACACACACACACAAACAACAAAGAGAAGAAAGTAATGAAGTTAGTTGGGACATAAACCTAAAAAAAATCATTTAATGGGTGGAGGTTGGTAGAATAACATGTAGGGGATTAATAAGAATTATATATGTTAGTTCATTCACGCACTTTGGCCGCTCTTGTGTGTTTGTAAATTGTTATTAAGATGGAAGAAGCTGTCTCCCCCTTATCCATTCCCTTTGCATGAATATCCATTGATATCCTTCTCTCCTTTTTTATTTCTTTTCTTTACATAAAAACATTAACCTCACAGGTCTCTACAAGTATGCTGACACCATCATCAATTACAGCAAAACAAATGGTCGCCCCACCCTCTTCTTGTCCTTACTGCCCTCGCAAGAACCAATCAAAGAGATATATGCAGATTCCTCAGAAATAGTGCCAATATATATGTGTGTGTATATAGCGGAGAACTTGCCGGTCTCCATACATTGGTAACTAATCCCAAAAAAAAAAAGAACACCAATGAATAAATATCAAGATGATTTTTTTGTTAAAAAAACTAATTGTTTAGATATATTAGAGGATCAAAATGTCTTGATACTATATATATCCTATATGCATCCGTAATTAACAAATTATACAATCCGAGAAAGAAGAGGATTTTAAAATGGTGGGTACACACAAATCATTCTCTGAGTGCTCTCCAATCTATTTGGGTTACGCCGCTCCTGCAATCCAAAACACTGCTTTTCAATCCCAAGAAATCATAACCATCGCCAGCCGTGCCGCTTCCATTACTGCTCTTAAGCGGTGGCTGATCTGGTTGCGGCTGATGATGGTGGTGGTGGGGAAGGCTGATGGTTAGCTCAAGGTTCAAGTCAGGGCATACTTCTAAGACGCCGGGTCGTTTGGAATTCGCATCAGAAAACAGAATCTCCGACTCTTGCTGTTTAGCAGCAGAAGCAGATGGGGCAAGAGATTGGTTCTGAGAAGCCCCGTTGAGAGGCCTGTGAGTCGCGGGGTCAATTCCTCTGCTCAGAAGCTTCCTTCTTATATGAGTATTCCAGTAATTCTTTATCTCGTTGTCAGTTCTTCCCGGTAATCTCCCAGCTATCAGCGACCACCTACACCCACATTTTTCACATACCCGTTAATTGAAACCCCCCGGACCAATTCATGTTGATTAACTGGTCTATTGTTCTGAGAGCAATCTCAACAAGCTAGTCCATTGGCATATATCAGCCTAAAACTTCACATCTCAGTTCACATTTTAAGTGTTAATTAGCTGATCTTGTCAACAAAAAAAAAAGGAGTTTTTAGCCGGTGAACCGCCTCAGAGATTGATATACAGATTCGAAGGAAGTTCACTAAAAGAAAAGGAGAGGAGTAGTAGAGGGAGAAAGAGCTGGAAGGGATGATAATTTTGGGGCTTACTTATTGCCAAGGAGACTATGGAGCTTGATGATGAGCTCATCTTCTTGTTCAGTAAAATTGCCGCGCTTGAGGTCGGGACGGAGGTAGTTGATCCAGCGGAGACGGCAGCTCTTGCCACAACGGAGGAGGCCGGCGGCTTTGGGGAGAGAGCGCCAGCAGCCCTCGCCGTGAGCTCGAATATAAGCAACGAGACGATCGTCTTCTTCCTTGGTCCATGCTCCTTTGTTAGTGTGAGCTTTCTCGCAGCAAGGAGACCTTCCCATGTTGGATTCTGCAATGTAATATGTGCAATGTGCAACGCAAAGGCCGGCCCTTGAAGGGGGGAAGCCTTATATATAGGCTTTTGACGCAGAGAAAGGAGGGGAGATATGGTAGGAAAGAGAGGTATTGAGGGAGTGGCCGATACACAATATGAAAACAATATATCAGCATCAATTGTTCAATAAGCTTATAAGAGCATTAATTATGGGTAACCTTTAGGTAGGTGTAAAGTATGCTGTATTTTAAGTATGGGCAAGCCTAGACAAAGACCCCGCCCCCTTAACCTCCTTTTTCTTATCCCATAAATTATTAAAACAAAAAATTTCTCTTTCCCCCCCAAATCTGATCCACCCAATAATTCCAAGATTTATCCTTTTTTCCCCCCCTTGATATGCCGCCCGGGGCTATTTCTATTCATGAATCGTCTTGTAATATAACTCAACAGAATGACACATGGAAACAGAAGTCATGTCCAACTTCTCAAGTAGCTGTTTCATATTTTGTCCTTAACAATAATCAACGCATAGTTTTGATATGATTAGCCTAATGATGAATTCTAGGATTGGTAATCGGAGTGGTTAGGACAGGAATGATTATGGAGTACCTACCACCAAAAAAAAAAAAAAAGGATCAGGTTCCATGTGGGGTCTGGATCCTCTTAGTATGGAAAATCAAATTTTAAAAAAAAATAAATGACTTAGAGATGCGGTAATGATATTAAAATTAGTTATTTCAGTAAGTTAGTTGTGGTGGACATCCCTGAGAGAAATGTGAGAGTGAGTTGGGCTATTCATGTGCCTAAGTACAGAGATGGCAATGGTAGTTGCGGTTCTTTATTCTATTGCTTCATTGTCGTGCGAGGGACAGGCGGAAGAGTTTCTAGAAGCACTCGAAACTGGGTTAAAGGGAAGTATACAGCTAAAGGCTTCGGAGTTTACTCATATTAATCTTTTAATATATGATCATATATAAATACTACCTCCTGTCCTAATTATAAGAACCAATTGACTAATTTGAGGAGATTAAAAAAGTAAGTTGAGTTAGTTATTTATCCTAAATAGGTGTTGTTTTTCCTAAAATATTCTTACTAATCAAGTGTATGACTAGAACTATCATTATTAGAAGGGCTACTTTGAAAAAATATATATAAATATGAGAGACAAAGTGGATTGAGGTTTTATATTTAGGACCAAAATAAAAATCAAACAGGGTCTTATATTAGGGAGGAGGCAGTAATAATTTTCCCAAAGAATTTAATCACCTAATATTACATATGATAAAAAAAAATCTATGAACAGATAGCCAAACCTTTGTGGCGTAGATTTATTTTGAGGATTTTCTTTCGACCTGAATAAACATTTTGAACACGTTCTTATTGTTCAACTAATTTGTGAACAAAATGATTTTCTATTTAAGTCGAGAAAATTAAATGCATGCATATAATAGTTTGGTTCCCTTTCTCTCTCATACCTTGGAGGTGCAAGTTTGGGGAAGGCATCGAGAGAAAGGTTGGGGTATTAGCATAGCTGCATCCACCTTATTGCCTTCTTGGCTCTGATACATACACACATATTCAAAATCTAACCTTCCCCAAGTGGATGGTAAGAGCAGAGTTAATAGGATGGTTATAAGTTGCTTTCAAACAGAAATATAGCCTATAAAACTAACAGAAATGATATTCGCCTGCCTTTTTCACTGCCCTTGACCACCCTTTCCCTAATCCTAACCCTACCCTTCTCCTTAGCTGGGCTCTCATGTCATAAGAAAATACATATGGCATGATTTAAAGCACCAACCCAGCCAAGGCCTGCTGTGAATATTTATCAGTCCTCTCTTGGGCCGTAAATATCTCTTTCTATAGGACAGCCAATTAATAAGCCATGAAATTACGTGTGCGTATAATAATTCCTAAAATTACCAACATCAAATAAATGGCGGATAAAACATATATATATATATATATATATATAAAAGCAGGAAGGCCCATCATTGAAATTAGCATCATCCGATCGGTCCCCGTCAGTAGAGTTGCCAATGCAATTACTGCCGTTGGTCAGCCTCCATTACCAAATTAAGATACAATGTACCAAATACTTCCTCTTTTTGAGTTGTTAGGTAGCAAATACTAATTATCATGTCACTTATATATATATATATATATATATAGATATATCAATTACATTCATAGATATATTATTGTCAATTAGCAACCATATATAATTTTGATCTGGTAATCTTTATATGGCAAGCCCGGCCGCTTGAAAATGTGCTATATATAAATTGGCTCAATATGCTAAGGGAAAAAATAAACATTAATTCAAGAATAATTAAAAAATCTAAATGAAAAGGAGTAATACCTAACCATGACATGTGTGCACCACGATCTTGTTCACCCAAAATTAAGTACACAACTAACGTGATAAGTTATATAAGCCAACTGAATGAATAGTTGCGATCTGCAAATGCGAAGGCTGGAGGGGAAGTATCGGCGTACGATTTGGCTCAACGGAGTGCAGAGGCATGAGCGTGTCATGTGATGAGGTGCTCGTGGGGTGGGACTTGGCAACCAAACAACCCCTACCTACTTCTCTTTCCCCTCTCCTCCTCCACCACATCACCACACCCCTTCCATTTTTTCTCAAAAAATTCGGGTCCGTAAAATCTAAAAAAAATCAGGTATCATTATTGACAGCCACCAACGGTAGATATATCTCAACCTCTTGCTACACGTTTCTATTTAGGTATACTTTTTCTTCTGAATTAGAACATGATGACGTCCACCAACCTATGGGTCACATTCTCATGAAGGCCGTTTGAATTTATTACTGATCAGAATGCATCTTAAAGGCACGCGGACTCGTTTCATTTGAATGACCAATTGTCATCAATAAGCACGTTCTCCGGCGTTCCGTGTAATTTGTACCTCCATATCAATTTATTATCTTTTATCTAAATAACACCAAGTCTTACGCCCAAGAGTGCAAACTGTAGGCTAGAGCTCTGTTTTCAAAGCCAAAATCTAAATTTGAATAACCTTCATCCATCTTAGTCCAGCCCCTCCATCTGCCTTCACAATTTTCAGCACACGCCAGCACCTGAGGCCTAATCGTTATTCTGGTGCATCCTCCCTGACTGCTTGGTTGCACGTGCTGTAATATTTTGACTCTAGAATCCTACCCTAGGAACAGGAGGGTTCTCTCAACGCTGCTAATGCGACTTTAAGATATTAATATGACTAATATGACTTCTTAATAATCAATCTAAAGAAAAAATAACGTTAAGGGAACTTAACTGACTTCACAAAAGGGGTTCGGCTCTTCATAATATTATCCACAAAAATGTGTTCCTGATTGATTTACCCTACAGGGGAGGTCATGCTTGAGCTGCGGGCGCAAGGAATCAAGGATCCGCACTTATGTCCTTATAATGACAATTCATAAAAATGCATATGGTGGTCATCAATAATTTCCCTTACACAGTATGATTTTCACACTACGCAAGAAATTTCTTTGCAATGTCCATCTGGGGGCATCCCATAAAGAAGTTTTTTTGTACTGATTAACTCTCACCAGCTACTAACGTGAATACAATCTTCTGAAGACTACGTTCTTTTTTTGTCTATTTATACACTCGGAATGGCTGTTATTCTAGTTGGCAATGAGAACAAGTACGCAGCAATAGAAGTACATGAACGAACCCAATAATGCCCGTAGCATGGGTCACATGTACTTCGAATCCAACACAGACCGACAAAGCTAATCTACTTCGCCCTCTTGCGAACTTCATACAAGTATCCGAGGATCACCACAGCAGCAGTGACAGCAACTCCAACAGCGCTTTGTGCCAGTATTATGCCATCCTTGATTTTTGCCTTTGAACTTGCCACGAACCCTAGCTCTGAAAGCTTCTTATGCGATTCAGCATAGTCTCTGAAAAATGCATCCTCGTCCTGCCAGAGAAATAGAGCCTATATATGAAAACGCGTACAAATTACCAAAGAAAAAAAAAAGAACCTAGTTATGCACTCTCTCAGAACTGACTTTTGCTACAAAATCCCCATCCACGTTCCAGGTTAGTTAGTCAAATAGGCAACATTTTGTGCTAATTGCCTCGGTTTATCCAGATCTGTATGGAAGATTAACTCTATAACAGAAGAGGACAGGAAAACCAGAAGAGGAAAACAAGACCAAGAAGGCACGGCCTGAAGGAGGCAAAGGTAAAAAGATTTACTTGAACCTCAACGGTTAACGCCTAATGAGAAAGAGTACGCCCAAAAAACACATCCAAAGGGGGGCAAAAAAACACAAAACTAAAAGTCCTAATGGGAAAGATAATGGAGAGGAACTAACAGAAGTGGTCGCATATCAACTAGGAAAATTAATCTAGTAGTGCTGCCACTCGATTTGCGCGCAAGAGAATAGTGTTTCATCTTCTACGACGTCAAAATGGCACAGATGGCAAAGAATCCATACTATCAATAGTATAACGCTTATCAGAAAAGAAAAAGAATTCCTATTAATAAACTCATAACGGACGCAACTGCATCAGACCTAAAGACTAATCTATGGAAAGTCATCAGCCTGAGCCAATATGTTGAAAATAAGTAGAATTTTAAGAGTGCTATTTTAAAAAACACAAATTGCTTGCCCACGGCATCAGAAGTATTGCAAGAAGAAATTTAAATAATGGTTACCCTTGCATAAAGCTCAACATAACGACGAAACTCAGGATCCTCTAATAATGCCTTGTCTGTTGGAAGTTTGAGCAGCCCCTCAGAATCTCCTTTTAACATTTCCCTGATACCAACAAGGATGTTTAATTGAGATACTTTTCATGCTCTGCAAATGTCCATATAGAGGTCAAATGTGAACTTTGCAAGCAACTCAAATCTTACACAAAGTATGAGTTATCAAACTTCAGAGGTTCCTCTGTCCAAGGACCATCAAACCCAGATCTCTCAGGATGCGCCCTTCCCTATTAGTACCAGAGCAAACGAACTTAGAATGTCTGGTCATAACCATAGAATTTTTTTTTTTTTTTGGTGCCAACAACAATAGAAAGCCAAACAAGGATATAATAATAAAAAACGTAATTTACCAGAGTGTGCCCCCCAGACAATGCAACAATATCCTTGTCAGATAGGCCCATTCGATAAAAGATATCACGGAGATGAGGCACACCTACCAACAGCATTTA